ACATGCTTACACATATGATTATGAAAATTCAGTGGTGTATAGCTAAAGGTTCAAGCTATCGAATAGTAGTCTACTCATGATAATATTTTTTATTTTAGTACTTTTATTTACATTTGAAGTTTGCATCGGGCGCTGTACGCTCATAACACGGACTAAAGGTTAAAAAAAGAAATTCAACGAAAAGACATAGCATATTTCTTGTATAATAACGCTTTTATTTTGTCAACACAAGAAGTTTCATTCTGGATCTTATGTAGATGGATTGATGGTATCATCCAATTTCAAAGTTTACCAGGCTCGGGCAGCGTATGAGTGGGCGAATGGGGCAGCGTATGAGTGGGCGATTGGGGCAGCGTATGAGTGGGCGATTGGGGCAGCAGCATAAGCGACTGTGGAGAAAGAATAGTATTGATAATTACGACCATTCAACAAGAACAGAGTTTGATGCATTCTCTGTTGCAAACATTCGTCCAAAAATCGTTTCTTTCCAGAATTTATTCAAATGTTAGATACTTACCAGCTGGAGCGGCGTATGAGGTAGCCAATGGAGCGGCAGCGTAGGTTGAGACTATGAGGAAAATGGGAAATAAATAATTGGAATTTCTCAACTGAATGATATCCTTCAGTGAAGACGGTCATATTTGTTGGGAAATATTCGATTGCGCATAGGCGAATATATCACAGCTCATTTGAAATGAGCACATCACATACGCATCCCGATCGGTTTATATTTCCCAACTATTTTGAATCCGCAAAAAACTTACTGGCTGGGGCGGCGTATGAGGTAGCCAAAGCTGGGGCAGCGTATGAGATAGCTGGAGCAGCAGCCAAGTGAGTGCTGAGGTATCCTGGTTTGGCAGCAGCCAAAGCGAAGACAGCGAACAAAGTAATCTACACCGAAACGAGTGGCAAAAACAAAAATGCAAAAGGTTAGTCAAAATCACCGTTGTTTTAAATTCAAAACAGAAAACAAGCTGCTATTAATCACGTACCAATTTGTACATTTTGAGTGTTTTTAGTTTAGCGTAGTACGAGAGTGTATCGACCTAACTGATGCTGATTGCTCTTTTGCTACGCCTTTTATACTCAAAATCGCCAAAAACATCAGAAGAGAAGCAGAGATTGTTACACTTCTGAAATGTTATGGAGGTGGTAATTGACGTAGAAGATGTTACATCACTAATCGCATCATAAAATCGATCTACATTAGTATGTTTAGACTGGCTCCTTCTTCGATTAAAATGATATTAAACAATTATCGACCGTAAAAATCGGAAATGTTCACAATGACATTGTGCAGAGTGATGAGTAAACTTTTCATTATAGATACAAGCGATAAACTATTTTAATCTGTCTGATACGAATATTCGAGAATAAATATTAGGAATATTTGCAAACAATTCTAATTTGGTTGATTTCGTTTTGGATAAATTGAATGAAGGTAAACTATTGCTGAGAAAATGATTTTTTCTTCAAAATTATTAGTCTATGTTTTGTGCATGCTTTCATTCGAAATTTATGAAAAAGAAATGTTCGAGGATCTTTGTTGCAAAATTAGTTGTTATTTCCCTTTTTTTTCTAAATCTTTTGTCGAAGTTTCATTTAAGATAGTTGCTATAGATGATGAGAGTGATCCTTCCACTAACAATGAAATAATTCATATTACGAACGTTCTATTGTCGTTTTTGTGCATGCTTCTTCATGTTTATATTGGGTAACAGCATTGCTAAATTATCACCTTCCACACACTGACGTTTAGTTCTGCATTAGTATGTTCGTCTAAGAACGAATCGTCTTTCATCAAACAGCCATTCCCATCAATTTTGTACTGCATATTCCCTTCGATTTTGTTTTACTTTCTTCCAATGATATGGAAAACGCACTATGGCCATTTATCGATTGGGAATGAAACGTTCAAAGGTAAAGTTCATGGATAGTAATCAAAGTAGAAGCATAGTCTCTCAATATATTTTCAATGTTTCGAAAGGGGAAAATAGAGTTTAATGCAAGTTGAAATGTACAAACTGAAATGTATCGTGAAAATTTCATGGAAAATGTAGAGGCAGATATCAATTAAAAATTAGTCAATTGTTCCAGTATTTGTCGAAAAAAGAGTCCGAAATGAGTTTAAAAGTGAATTAATTGGGGATAGTGTTAACTAAACACTCTAAACTGGAATGTTTATGCAACAAGAGAAAAAAAAAGTTGTATAGTAACATCATGACGTCAATTCAATCTGATTGTCGAATCCAATCCAATAATCATCCAATAAAATGATAAATGGATTAAGATGTGTGCAAAAATGTAGCATCACAAATTCGATGAGATCAACATCCAAGCAATAATGAAAAAAAGAGAGGTTTTCTGCAGAGCACGTGTATTGCCGCATTTTATGAAGGATAATTTAAAAACTAGTCTCTAATTAGATTGCGGAATTGATAACATAAATTTCGACATATCGTAAACCATCCAAATTGTAACATAGTCTCAAAATAAACCACTTTTCCGTGAGTAAAAATTCTCAAATTTAATTAATGCGAGCGCGCCGAAGGCGCGCGAGTGTTCTATTTCTATGTATTTAAACACATAACGACCAATTTTTACTGACGATTACATTTAAAAAACCGCAAGATGAGTTTTAAAGAGCGCTAAAAGTGTTTAAATATACTTGTCAATCATTTGAATGAGCGCCGATATTGTACTGTTTACATTTTGAAATTTGAAAAAGGCGCTAGAAATATAAGCAAAATTTGAATATCAGTCCAAGAGAAGCGCACCAAAACACAAACGGTGGACACCTTTTTTCACATTGTAATTGCAATGACAAAAGAAAGAGATGAAAACATAAATTTATTGTTTACGAAAATCGAATAGAATGGACAACAAGAGATGTCGTGTATTCGGATGTTACGAACAAGAGCGTACAACGTACACTGTGCGCTGTGTGTGTATTGTTTACAAACGGATCTAACGGTGAATTGTAATAAAAAAAACACTGTCTCCACAGCTTCAGTACACGGCTAACTTGTTCAAATGTATCCTTTATATTAGTACGCTTGTGATCTTGCACGCAAAATGTTCTTGTCGACTAATTTTGTTATTTTGAGTTATTGATTTCTGTTTTTTTCTGTCGGGCTATTTTGCTATTGAAAAGTTCTTATTTTCTTGAGAAAAAAAATGAATCGCAAGGATAAGTTAATCAAAAAGAAACCTTCGGGTGCCGAATTTAAGAGAAGGAGAGATGAAAAGGAAGCTGAAACGAAGAAAAGTACACAGAGCATTAGCTTGTTCTTAACGAAAGGTAATAGATAAATTTAAAAAGTATGAACAAAACAGTGAACATGGTGTTGTATTTTGTGTTGAATGTTCTAGAATCAAGTGAAGTTTTGCTCTTGAAAAATCCGATGTTTGTTTGCCGAACGAGAAGGAATGTGAATACCGTGATGATTCGCAAAGCGAATCGGCAATTCTGCATTCAGGTATGAATTGAATTGAATGTTGTGTGTTGAAAATCATCAGTAAAATTTTTTTCGTATTGATCGTGTGTTATATTGCAATTTTCAGCGTCAAGTGCATTTGAATTTTTGCAATTTTTTTTGGAAGAATACAGATCAACTGGACCTGAAAAAGTTTTTAGTGAAGCAACAGAAATCTGTGAGAGTATGGAAATCGAGGTC